GTGATCTGTTCCCCCTCTCTCCCCCACCTTCTCCTTTCCCTCTTGGTATTGCTACTCTCATTATTGGTCCTGAGGGGTTTATCTGTCCTGGATTCCCTGTGCTTCCAGCTCTTATCTGTACCAGTGTATGTCCTCTGGTCTAGCTGGATTTGTAACGTAGAATTGGGATCATGATAGTTGGGGGGAGGGAGGGGGAGGAAACATTAAAGAATTAGAGGGAAGTTGTATGTTTCATTGGTGCTACACTGTGCCCTGACTGGTTCATCTCCTCCCTGAGACCCTTCTGTAAGGGGATGCCCAGTTGCCTGCAGATTGGCTTTGCATCTCTACTCTGCACTCCCTCTCATTCACAATGATATGCCTTTTTATTCTTTGATGCCTGATACCTGATCCTATTGACACCTTGTGATTCACCATTAGTTTTTATTTCTGTATCTATTCCATTTTAACTTCAATCCACGCCAATTTTTCCCCTCAGTTCTCAAAATATTGTACATTACTATGGCACTTGTATTCATTTTTGTTCTGCTACAATGCCACCAAAATCTTGGTTATATGGCTGTCATTCTAGCTGAATGGGCATGCAGACCTCTCTCCTTTTGCACAGCCAGATTAGGTAGGCTTTGGTTCTGGTCAGCCTTTGGCGAATAAGCCATTTGTGAATTTTGCATAAGGGACTATTAGTCGCTATGTCAGGTAGTAAGGCTCCAGAGTGGATGAATTCTAGGACTGTGGGCCATAGTGTATATTTGAGTAGTTAAATGCAAGCAGATACTCCAAACCAAACTCACTGCCATCAAGTCAATGCGGACTCATAGTGACCCTCGCTAGGTTTCTGAGACTGTTTACAGGAGTGGAAAGCCCAGTCTTTCTCCCACAGAGGTGCTGGTGTTTTCGGACTGCTGACCAAGCAGACCGCAGTCCAACTCATAACCACTGCATTACCAGGACTCCTTAATAAAGATGATTAATCTTTACTAATATTATCATCACTTCTCTAGGATTGTCTTACATGTGACAAGCGCCCCCTAGTGATAAAGGGACTTAACAATAGTAAGGTTGGTGCAGGCCCGGGCAGTGTCTGGTTCTGCTGTACAGAGGGTTGCTATGAGTTAGAACCAACTCTATGGCACCTAACAAAAACAACAACATAGACGGACACAGGTTGCATACGTGTTGAGCTACTAACCACAAGGTCAGTTGTTCAAACCTACCAGTTGCTCTGTAGGAGACAGATGACGTTGTCTGCTTCTATAAAGATTCTATGAATCTCAGAAATCCAAAGGATCAGTTCTACTTTGTCCTATTGGGTCATAATGAATCGGAATCAACTCAATCACAGTGAGTGAGTGAGTGAGTGAATGTAGAAGGACAAGCTGAGGAAAGATGTGAAGCCGTTTAAACAATTTCGACTGTATTAAACATGCAAAGGTTCCGAGGTCTTGTGCATATGTGTGGAGGTAGGGTTGTTGATCTGTTTCCTTCTAAACAACATCCAGTTTTCTATATTGTGGAAGTGGCAGTTAATTTTGTAGGCGAAGTTCAAATTAATCTCAACTTTGCAGTTCATCAAGATAAACGGTGGGTCCTTGATCTTTATCCAGTCTCTAAATGGGGAGACTTGATCTAATCTTTACATAACTACCAAAAGCTATCTGGCACACAAACTTGAAAAATTGTAATCTCAATTCAGGAGACTTAATTATGAGTGCAGAATTTGATATAGTTATAACTTACTTTTGGGGGGTTAATTTTAAGCATAGAGTAGTTTAAACAAGATGGTTGCTCGATGATACAAGAAAGCAGTTACTTTTAACTACCCTTTTCTCTCCCTACAGTCCCAGCCGCTCACAATAGTGCTTATTAGTCCCTGAAAAGTATAAATTATAATCTATTACTTGATATTTATAGCACTGGGTCCTCTTCAAAGAATCAATAACCATTCTTATCCTCTAAGATGCTTCCCACATAAAATAGAGCCAAAGAATATATAACCAAGCCAATTAAAAATTAAAAGGCACTATTTACATTAATCACATAGTGTCAGAGGGCAGAAGCAACCACACACCTGACTTATAAATGATGCATCCTAAACTAACAAATAGAGACTAGGTGAACAAATAGGGGACAAGATTAAACAGGAAGTAGGTAACATGATTAAACAATGAACAGGTGAAAGATTATATTGGACTTTTGGAAATATTTTGTTTTGTGTAAGAGACCATCAAATAGTGAATTGTATGTGTTGCATTTTTGCAACTTTTCGGGGGTAGAACCTCCTTACCTCCCACCTTCATATCAAAATAATTTTTTTAACATCTCAAGAGTATTTTGAGGCTTCCTCTCTAGCCTAGATTGCTCTTTGTCTCCTTTTAGATTCTGAACCCCTACATCGCCTGATTTAGCAAAACCATGTGGCTTTGATTTCCATTATTTGTTCATTTGTTAATGGGTACTCCAAAATCTTGTCTCTATTACTATTTGGAGGACAAACGTCCATTCATCTATTTAGATGGGTAACTTGCCTTATGATGACGCAAGCATGTGCTATTGTGGGTGGAGGTAGCACGAACACAAGGGTTACGAAGGTGAATGACAGCTGTGGACACACAAGCTCCCTTCTCCCCTCTTGTTTCCTCGCACACATCCAGGTAGATGCTAGGTTGCAGATGGGAAGACAGCTCACCTCCGCAGGGCCCTGGTGTTTGGCAGCAAGGCGGAAGAGCAGGAGGAGGAGGATGGGGAGGTTGACCCTGAAAGGCAGCCAGGAGGACTCAGGTGTCCGGCTCTCAGGCGGAGGACGCGGGGGAGGGGCTCGCGCCAACCCGTCCATCTCCCACCTGCCCAGCCCGCAGCATCCCTGCGCAACTGCGTG